TCCCATGGTCTGGTTTCAGGTGTTTAAGACAACTTTTAAAAACCGACTTCCGGCCACGGCGGCGCGAATGGCGACCGGCTCTCGGGACGCTCCCGGAGCCGGATCGCCCACACGCAGTTTGGGGGGGTCCCGCGTAAGCGGAGATCCTAAGGAGCCTTAGTGTAAAGGCTCCGAACTAGGGGGCGCTTAAGGGAGAAGCCTCTTGCCGGCCAGAAGGTCGGGAATTGAGGCTCTCCCTCTGCCCCAAACGGCCCCGGGTGCGTCGTGCCCGAATGGGGACTAGCAACGCCACTGGTACAGCGGAGTGATGGAGCGCTAAAGTAAAGCCAGAAGGAATGAGAAGAGCGATGAACTGTGAGTTGGTGATTTAATTAGAAGCGGTGGCATAAGCGCGCTCCGTTCCCCCCGGGAGACTGAAAGAGAGGGGGGAGGATTCCCCCCCACCCGAGAAAGAGACTTTTTAAAAGTAAAGAGGGGGGGCAAAGCGAAGATAGGCAAAAGCGCATTACCTTTTGGGAGGGAGTAGAAAGCGGTGAAGAGGGAGACACCCCTGAGCGGCACAGCATGAACTTTTAAAGTATAAACAAAAGCGAAACATGGCGGGGCAGAGAAAGCTGCTGGAGAAGCAGACAAAGAAGATGGGAGGGACTTCCTGTCCGAGCTCTTCCCCTGCTGGTACTGCTGTCAATCAACAAGAAGGTGATCTTTTGCGCTATCTGCTGGAGGAACTGCAAAAAATTAACCAGAAGTTAGACAGCATGGAAAGTGCCTACAGTGTTCAACAGAGGAAAATGACAGAGACAGCCGACAAGGTAGATGATATTGCAAAGAAATGTCTGGCATCAACAGAAGAAATACAGAAAGTTAAGAAAAAGGTCATCAAAGTGGAAAAGCAGCAAGAAAAACAGGATAATAAATTGCTACTGCTTCAAATGAAGAAAGCGAATTTGACTCTTCGATTCCAAGGGCTGAAAGAGGAGGAAAAGGAGGACCTCAGAGACATTTTGGCAACAGCCTTAGCACCACTGACTGGCAATGAAGCGGGAAAAATAAAAGAAGAGATGGATTTGGCTTATAGAGCCTATTCCAACTTCACAAAGAAAAATAAGTTGCCAGCAGAAGTGGTAGTGAAATTTACAAAGCAACGTCTCCGAGATCAGATTTTAAAGGCAGTTTCAGCAACACCCTTGAAAATTGGAGATCAACCGATCAGGATTTTGAAAGATGTTCCATTTGAAATCAGAATGAAAAGAAAGGAATATAAAGGACTGACCATGTTCTTACAAAGTCATCAAGTCAGTTACAGATGGTTGTGCCCGAAGGATTGGTCTTTAAATTTAAAGACAGAAGAGAAAAGATAGACTCTATCTTCAAGGCTCAAGACTTTTTGAAGAGGCACGCCAGTACAGAAGAAGAGGCAGAACTTGCCAAGTGGATGTCGGGAGCCAGCGGAGAAGACAGCAGCTCGGAGGGAGAGGTGAAGGATGAGGAAGTTAAAGGAGCGACTGGCCCAAAATATAACTTAAGGGACAAAAAAGGGAAAGACCCCAAAGTTTAAAGACTATTTCGGATAATGCTTTGAAAGTAATACTAATCCCGAAAGAACATTACTAACATGTTAATTGTACGGTTTTGAGAGAGAGAGAAGAAAAGAGGATCGTCCAACTACAGAAGAAGCTATTGACTTTAATTTTAAAGGATTAATATACTAATACTTAACATCACTCAACACTTTTCTTTATCCTTCTATAGACCCTCCCCAATTTTCTGAATTGTAAAAGCAAAACTTCTCTCCTTTTTAGGAGAGGGAAATTTTTTTAAAAAAAGACAACTAAAAAAACCAAAACCCTTTTTCTGAGCTTTGTCAATTCCTCTGTGTAGAGAAGCTCAGCCAGCCTGACAGGCAGCAACTTGCAGAAAATAACCAGTGCTTACTGGTGCTAATTTATGTGAATATGGAGTAGACTGTAATCTGTGTGTTCACATGAATTGCTTATGCATATACATATCTACAAGCACATATCCCAATTACATGATTCATTCACCCTTTTGTGGTAGATAAGTAGAACATATGAATTATCTTTATGTTAGCTATACATCTGTTTCTGCAAATCACACTTGATATTCTATAAGTGTGATTTCTGTGTAAGAGCCTAAAATTTGCTTTCAAATCCTACCATATGAACAGCGGGGGGGGGGGGTAAAATAGGCTGGGGATTGTACTACTTAGTTTTTGTGTTTTAGAGAATTGTCATACTCAGTAGTTTGTGACTTTTCAAACCTCCAATTGTAATTCATGCTAAAAGTAACTTAAAAAACCTATTGGTTTAAACTTACTCCATTAATCACACCAGGTTTTTATATTATATAGGACTGACAACTGTTGCTACTTTCTTTTCCTCAAAACCATTTATGCTCTTGCACACTGTGACAGACTGCACTTTTAAAAGCTTAGAAGTGCTGTGTAAACAGATAAAGGACTGTAAAGGGTTAATTCTTCACAGAGCCAGAGAGCCTTGAGTGACAAGCTGGTCCAAGCAATCTGACTGGTTAAACATCAGCTGAGCAGAGAAAGACTTCTGAACTGGATGCTGAGGAGGATTGAGTCTGATTTCAGCCTTAGCTGAGAGCAGTTTAACACAGCTGGAGAACTAGGGGAAAGTTGGCAAGGAAGTTTGTTCAATTAAGTTTGTGAAGTAGGTGAAGACTCCCATACAGGACAAAGAAAGATCTCATAGCGACAGAAGAATTTCCCTACCCAGTCGAACAGGGAGTTAGCTCTGAAGAGTACAGAGATCCCTGACCTGGTGTGGATAGAAACTGCCTTTAGAGACCTTAATAGTCAGTTAAAAATCCAAAATGAGTACTGGCATTTCAAGAGAAGGGTTTTGGGTACTGGAAAGAATGTACCAGCCTTCTGGAAACCAAGAGTCAGACAACTGTTCTGGAGTGTTTGGGAAAACTCTGGAACAAAAGCCTCTCAGCATAAAGATTTAAGTCACTGTGTGTTATGTATGTAATGTAATGGAAAGAATGTACTGAACTTGAAATCTGAAAGGTATTGTAAACCGACCTATCAGAACAAAAGCACGTTCTGGAGGGAAGAGAAATGATTGGTCTTTATGTACAGTATGTGATTGGACCCTAGCTGACATGTGGGCGTGGCTTGCCAAGCCCGGACAGCTTAAAAAGGAGCCTGTTGCTCCATTGATTTGTCTCTTCTGGTTCTTCTGACTTCCTGTGCAATAAAGCTGTTAATCACTGTTCACCTGCTGCCTGAGTCTCCTATCTAACACTGTGAAAAGCTTAAGAAACTCTCATTAGCCTGAAACCTAAGGACTAAAGTCTTTGCATGTAGGGTTTTACCTCATAAATTTCAGCCCCCGATTTTAGCTGACCTTTCTCCTCTGTGTTGAGTAAAATATTTTGTTATTTTTGAATTTCAGAATGTCATTTAAGTTGTTTAAGTTAAAGTGGGCTCCTGATCCTTCCCTTAGGTTCCTGGCTGAGTCAAAAGCCAAAATATTGTTCCGTGACAGGATGGAACAGCCACAGTTCTTCAGCAAAGAAGAGAAGACATTACTAAGGCAGCTCAGTAAAGTGAAAGAAATGTGGATGGGAAAATCTTGCCTCTGAGGGAGGGAAGCAGATGGGGCCATCATACACACATTCACTGTTTTCTGTTAAATTACTGTGTTCCTCTATGCTTTTGCATGTTTACTTGGGAGTCCCTAAGTAATTAAACTGAATTTACTCCCAAATAAACTTATGGCTGCAGGTTTACCAATGCAATCCTAAACAGCTGTTACATCCTTCAAAACTGATTGACTGCAATGGCCTTAGAGGGCTGTAACTGTGTAGGACTGCACTGTAAACGAAGCTTCACAATAAATGTATTAGTCTCCAGGTGCCACAAGTCAATTTCATTGTTTTTTCTTCAACTCAGTAATGAAAGTTTCTCTTCTAGATTCCCCCCTCCCAAAAAAAAAAAATTAAACAGCACCTGGTACAGCTGGAACCAAATAAGTGTTTAAACACTAGCAGAAGCAGCATCTTTAAAGAATCAAATATCCAATCCTGATGCACGCTTGTGTGTGTATGTGCGTTATGTACTGTTAAGTTGCTTCCCATTTACGGACAGTATCCACTGATGACCTCCAAAAGCAACCTTCCTCCAGTCTCGCAAACTGAGGGCTGTGGTTTCCTTGATTGAGTCAATCCATCTCATGCTGGGTCTTCCTCTTCTGCTGCCTTCAACTTTGCCCAGCAACACTATTGTATTTTCCAATGTGTCTTGTCTTTTCATAATGTGACTAAAGTATGATAGCCTCAAAATACGATGTGCACGTTTACTCAGAAGTAAACCAGATCCTGTTCAATGAGTTTTACTCCCTGGAAAATGTGCACAGGGAGGCAACCTTCAGCTCCATGCTTTTTTCCCCACCCGAGGTGCGCTCGACTTCCTTCAGCCACTAACACCATTTGGCTCCTATTATGAACTGAGAGTGAGGGAGCTTCTTGAATAAGTGACTTCATTTTATTCGGCTCATAACAACGCTAGACAAACTTTATAGAACAAAGCTGACTTATATAGGATTTGAATTGGATGGGCAAAACCACACCCAACAAACAGATAACAACCAATAGGAACATGGAGCTTGGAACCAATGAGAGTGGTTCCTGCAGAAGGCAAAGGCTTCTCTGATTGGCCCATTAGGTCAATCCTTGCAATGCTCTTTTAGTATAGACTGTGCATAAACTCATTCATATCTTTATTACATTAAGACATAATAGTTCCCCATCCTGAAGCAACAGAGCTGACAGCGGGATACCATTGCCTTGAAGCAACACGCTTCAAGCCAACACCCCCTGACTGCAGCAAACAAACGGCCTCTTTAAGAGCGGGAAAGGCCCCGCCCACGCACTCCGTCAACCTCTCCCCACAAGCCAGGGATGACGTATGAGAGCCAATGGGCGTTTTCCTTAGTGTGAGGTGCGAAGCGAGGGGAAGATGGAGGCTGTTTCTGCGGCGGAGGCGGCGGGGCTCTCGCTTGCTGCCGGTGTCCCCCCGTTGATTCCGGAGCGGCTCCAGCAGCGAGACGCAGAACGGCGAGAGGAGGCTGAGCGGAGGCGGCGGGAGCGCGACGCGCAGACTGTGGAAGAGGAGCAGAGCGACTTCTTCACTGCCGCCTTCGCCCGAGAGCGGGACGCCATCGAGGCGCTGCTGGGGCCAGAGTTGGACGAGGGGGCTGCTGAGGATGCAGCCACGCGACTGCTGGAGGAGGCCGCCGGGCGGCTGCAGAGCCTGCAGAAGCTGCTGACGGACTCGGTGCGCTTCCTGGCCCCGTATGAGGTGCGGCAGGCGCAGGCGACGATGGCCCGGCTGCAGAGCGCCCTTTCCGAGCGCCGCCTGCAAGTGCAGCCCAAGAAGCGCTTCGCTTTCCGGGCTCGCAAGAAGGAGTCGGCCGTGGGCCAGGAGCCCCCGATGGCTTCCGAGCGGCCACAAGGTTCCAGTGAAGCGATCCTTTCTCCCGCGGATCCCGAGTGTGGGTTCAGCCGAGTCGAGGGGCAGGAGCTGCAGCTGGGCCCGGCCGACCTGCTTCAGCGGAACGTGGTATTGTCTCACCTGACCGCTTGCCGGGTGCGGCTTTGTGGCAACCCCAACACGCTGCTGATGCGCGGCTGCCGGGACTGCACGGTTCTCTGCGGGCCGGTGTCCACCTCGGCGCGGCTGGAAGACTGCAGCGGCTGCCTCGTGGCCCTCGCCTGCCAGCAGCTTCGCACGCACCTCGTCACCCAGACCACCTTCTACGTGCAGGTGACTTGCCGGGCCATGCTGGAAGACTGCAGCGGAGTCCGCTTCGCCCCGTACACGTGGAGTTACGTGGGCATCGAGGCCGACTTCGAGACATCGGGACTTGATAGAAGCAGAGACAACTGGAGCCAGGTGGATGATTTCAACTGGCTGGCTCGGGATCAGCCCTCTCCGAACTGGAGTGTGATCCCGGAGGAGGAGAGAGTCTGTGACTGGAGCTGAACTGGGAACACTCTATCAGCCACTGTTGCTGCAGTGTGTAGAGGACCTGGAGCTAGTTGCATTGCAGATGGTGTGCTCCTTTCGAAGAATTCATGCACCTTATTTGTGCTTTGGCATCGTTTAAGCCAGATGTTGTGATGAAGGTGCCAAAATACTTACCTCTGGTGATACTTGCTTTTGCTCTGCCAGCCAGTGAAGCCTCCTGGCGCTAACAGGATCTGTGTTGTGCTGTGTGCCTTTAGCTGGCTGCCTGATCTTTAAAGTTGTTCAAATTCTGCTTTGCTTTCTGGAACAAGCTTTGTAAGGGCTTCAACTTCTGTTTTAAATATTCTTCATTCAAAGCATCTCTCTGTGTAAAAATCTTTCCTTGACTTCTACCAGTAGAAAGAATTCCACAAAATTCTATTTGTAAAGTATTGCCCAAGGATAAATTTAAGCTTAAGAAAACATTATACTCTGATCTTGAACCTATTTAGTGCATATAACTGCTTCAGTGCAGCTAATACTTGCAAGCAAAGCCAAAGCCAAAAACTTTCATGGGGCAATCTCGTCAAAGTTAGATAAAAGTCACTGGAAGAAAGTTAAGCACATGCTTATTTTTCTGAAAACCGTTTGTAGAACTACTTAATAAACTGAGTTGTGTAATTAATCCTTAAGGGGTCTACAACTGTCAAATTACATTCATGTTTAGTGTGCTATCTAAAACAATATCTGCATGTTTTGTACAAATACATACTGTGTCTGGGCATTTCCCACTTCAGTGTACTATTCATCTTGTGTTTTGTTAACAAGGGTTAAGCAAGTTACCAAATCTGTACCTCATATAACTAAATAGAATCAATATTGTCATTACTACTCTCTCTGGATTTTATACTAATGTACTAACTTTTCAAAAATGCTAAAAGGACCTCAGTTATTGTATTGTTCAGGTGTTGGTTTTACTCTTAAGTACCCCTCATGGCCCCTTGGATTAAAACAAATTTTTTCCTGTGAATTGTCTTTTCAGTGCTTTTCTCGGGGACTGTACACATCTCTGGTCATGTAACAGAATGAGAGGCAGAGATTGGGTGCTTTCTAGCTCCGGCCTGGGACAGATTTGGAGTGTTTCTTGTCTTATGTGTGCTGCTTCTGACAGCATATAGCCTGCCACACTGAAAAGGGATTTTTTTTGCATTTGCTGCAGAACTGTTGAGGTGGATGTAATGACTTTTGGGACATACAGTTCTTTGAGCAACTTGTGTGGGAAACTGGCACTGCTCACACACAGCTCTGCCAGCACTGCTTCTAGGCTGAAAGGGAAATATCTCTTTCATGCAGCTGTCTTTCTGTCATGTTGCTGGTGATGCATTAGCATTCCTCCCACCAATTTATCTGCCTTGGTCAGTTGTGGTTCCTAATACAGTTTGCAAACCACTTCTTAAACAAAAAGTAGTAAGGCAGAGAGTTCCTTCTGAGCCACATTTCTGGGGGCATAAGAGTAAGACAGCTGGCTGGATCTATCTTTAGAGAAAACCACACATTTATGTAAGCTTAAGAGGGTATGGAGCAGGAAACTAATGAGGCAACAACCTCTAAAAGAAGGCAAAGTTTCGTTTCCCAGGTTTGTTTGAGCTAATCCTTGTCCTCCCCTTTCCAAATCTTCAACTGCGATCGCTTTCAGCAGGCCTCTTCTATAGAGGACTAGAACTTGTAACAGTGGGCAATAACAGCAGCATTCATTTTGACATGACAGTGACAACTTTGCCACTAGAAAGACTCTACTTTCCAGAAAGCTTAATAGCTGAGGTGCTAGTCAAGGAAAAGAGCAGCCTGGTCATCCCCTTCCTGTTTCAGACCAGTTGCCAACAACTAACCTACAGTAGCATAAAAGGTGCTCTACCCCCTAAAAACTATTATTTAAATAAATTGGTTTGTGGTGTTAAGAATAAAATAAGGATGTGCTGAATGAGACAAAGCATTTTTGTTTTGCTCCTGCCATGATACTAAAACACAATTTCTGTTTTCAAGAATTATGTGAAAGAGATTTTGCCCTGAATTAGTATCTCTTTTTGAGGGTCTAGATGGAGTGCTCCTGCTGATGTGGTACTAAGAGACTTTATTCATAGTAGAGAGGATTGGGCTATGTGACTACAATATCTGGCCCTCAAAACACTCTGAATAGCTAATTAGGGATGGTCCATTCTTAGTGTAGAACAAATAACTGGTGTGAGCTTGAGAAGGATCTGTCACTAACAGTCTATTATAGACAATACTTTTTTAGGAATCCTCAGAAGTATGTTAGGTCTTTCCTCTAATTATTTCTGTAGGGTTATTCAATAGCTCCTGATGTTGACCAATGGTGAGATCTAGCAGGTCCTGCCATTTCCTGTTTGAGATGGCAGAAGTAACCCCCCCCCCAAGCTGAAGTATGACTACTGCCTCCTGATCAGAGTGGAGAGATTATTTCTCAGAGACTCTGCTTGGAACTTCTGCCATACTGGGTTCTGTATCTACCTCAACCTCACTCCTAGCCCAGTCACAACTCCTACAAAATACTAGCTGTAGCTGTACATGTGATGATGAATGTGCCATTATACAGCTTCTGTTGGACGATTTTGGCAGGGTGATTGTGAGCTTTCTTGTATCTTTTATTTGCTAGCATAAGGAAATCAACAGTGTTTAAAAGCTGAAAACATCACTGTGACCTGCTTTGAAGTCATAGACATAGAAGACATAGAATCATAGAGTTAGAAGGGACCTCCAGGGTCATCTAGTAATAAAAGTGTCTCCCCAAACTGGTTTCCTCTGTTCTGGGCTTGAAGGACTGCAGGTGTGACAACAGCCGAGACAACAAAAGTTATCAGAAGCAATTTTTTTATCTTTAATATCAAGGTTATGTAATTTACAAGCCTTTTTCAGGCACTTTTAACATCAGTTAATGCATGACTAGTTTCATGTTTCTTGTCATTTTATAGACGGTCACTAGATGGTGCATGAAGATCCTTTTCTCAGCTCTGTCACTCCCCCCCCCCCCCCACGCGCGTCCCCCCCCCCCCCCCCCCATCTTTCAGGTCATCTAGGAGGATCATTCTTTTGACAGTGTATTGCCTAAAGATTACAGCTTTCCTTCTTCATTTTCCCCAGTCAGTTTTAATTCCTTTATTGCAGAGTTTTTCAGTCTGAGCTAGGGACCATGGATGGTTTACAGAGATGCTGCCGCCAATAAAGGATTTACAGTTGCTAGAAGGAATGCAAGGAAGGCAGATAGAAGCAAGGGACATATGACTTGCTAACAAAATATTGAACTGGGGAGGACATTGAATATGCAAACAAGCACTTCCCTAGAAAAAAATGCCACCGTATGGTACATGCTTCCCAGTCATTCATATCTAAATGCAAATGTGAACATTTTCCAGCCACTGCTTTACTGATGATGGGAACTGTATCCAACATTAGAACATCCTGTTGTAGCTACAGTGGGACCTCGTGAGGCCCAGCCCCATAACTTACCAGCAAGGCCCCACAACTTCTCATCCAGCCCAGGCCCCTCCCCAAAATCCTGTTTTGGTACTGCAATGCACAGCCACACCATCGCCTTCACCAAGCCTGACTACTGGAGCCAAGCCTGCCTGCTGGAGTCTTGCAGGGCGCAGGAAAGAAGCAAAGTGGGGGGGGGCAGTGACAGAGTGGTCGGTCTAGCACCCTGTCTCCTGGTTTTCATCCGTGTTATGAATCATGGCGTGGCGAAGGCCACTGTGGTAGCGGCAGTGTGGCTCCCTCCCCACCTGCACTGTGCTGCTGACTTTTTAAAATGCCCCCCGACTTTACAAATCCTGGCTATGCCCCTGCATTGAATCTCAAGGTTGGTCAACATCTAAGTTGTGATGCTGCAGCAGAGAGTCCCTCAATCTGGAGAGCAGCTATATCCTTGGTGTCGTACTGACCACACAAGATACTGACAGATTGTCATGGGCTATTTGTTTGATTTAGAATATTTATATACCTGCCTTTGTCCTGACAAAGTGGGTGACAAGAACAGTCATATACTAAATTGAATGCATAAATTAAAAATATCCACCACAACCCTTTTTTTAGTTAAAATTAATTATTAACGGGGGGGGGGAATGAAGTCTATTTAAGAATTCCAGAGAACTCAAAACCATGCATACTGTGTTGAATTATTGTAGTTATCTTAATAAAAGGTGTTCCCTCTCTCTCTCTCTCTGCTCTAGACCAACATAGTTACCTACAATTTTTGTAGCTACCTACAATCAGTTTTTGTTCCTGTAATCTCAGCAAGTCTTGGTCTGTCATTGGCCCAACATGATTAGCCTATAAGCAGCTCAAGAGTTCAATCACTATTTCTGGATTTTTGGATCGCAATTGTTAGTTTCTCAGTTGGTTCAGTTCTCTTCCAGAAGTCAAAGATATGAGATACATATCTTTTTTTTGTTTTCAGAGCTACTGTAAACTTATATTTTAATTCATTTAAAAAGTGTCCTTAATTCCATTACTAAAAACACATAAGCCAAACAATGTCATTCAAGGTGAGTGACACAGGATAAGAATCAGCACAGCCGCAAAGGTTTCAGTACAGTAATTTATCAAGTCAATATACAGCCACATCTATGTCAATATATCTTTTAATCAAAGAGCTGCCACTTTCCCAAGGGGGAAAAGATCTTCTAGGAATGTGGCATCTTTTTATCCTTTGATCTTCAGTTGCTGCATGCAATAATATATCATGGGAAAACATTAATCCACTAAATAGTAAAACGAGGGATTATTTCCACTGCTCATCTGCTGGCAGAGATTTCTGTAAATTGGATCACACTGATTAGTATTAGAATGACGTCTTGCAGATCCAGCTTTAATCTGAACCTTCAAGGCTGTTTCTCCTTTGTGCACAAGGGGCCACCAGAAATAGCTGCATGTGCTATTTGCCAATCTTTTTTTTTAATGTGAATTTTTAAAATTGTGCACCTCCAAAGACTTGCCCAAGTCTCTCATAGTACGATGGAAGGGCCAAACCATAATGGCTCAGGCAGAGTTACAGCATTTGGAATCTTCAAGGCATGAATGGTGGTGGCTCTTCCTAAAGTTGTTCCCTTTCTGAAAAAGGATTAACTTCGTGGAGTCTTGTTAAATTTTACATTGCAAGAATGGCTGTGATGAAGCTCAAGTTCAGCCAGAAGAAAAGGGTAAAACTAGCACAAGGACTATGGCTCATGAATTGGTTTTCCGTTTTTGCAGGGATCGTTGTTTTTGCCATGGGGTTGTTCTTGAAAATTGAGCTCAGGAAGCGAAGTGACCTGATGGACAATGCCGAGAGCCACTTTGTGCCCAACTCCTTGATATTGGTGGGTCTGTTATCCTGCGCCTTCAATGGTCTTGCAGGCAAGATATGCTACGATTCTCTGGATCCCACTAAGTTTGCAAAGTGGAAGCCTCTGTTGAAACTTTATCTCATCGTTTGTTTCTTTTTTAACACCTTCATTTTTGTAGTTGCTCTTTTTTGCATTCTGATGAGGGGCTCTCTGGATGCTACACTGGCAAAAGGCCTAAAAAGTGGTATGAAGTACTACCGAGATACAGATACTCCGGGAAGGTGCTTCATGAAGAAGACCATTGACTTGCTCCAAATTGAGTTCAAATGCTGTGGGAACAATGGTTTCAGAGACTGGTTTGAGATTCAGTGGATCAGCAACAGATACTTGGATTTTGCCTCTAAGGAAGTAAAAGAGTAAGTAGTTTAATGGAATAAAAATTATCTTTTCATACAATCCCATATAACCAGCACTCTTTCCGAACTTCCGATCAATTCAGTTTTGTCAATATGCTCTAGATCACTCAGATAGAAACAAAATATAAGTTCATTAAAGAATGCAACAGCTTGTAATCAGACTGGCATATTGATGTTCTTTAATCAGGGGGACCAGTACTGCAAATTTACAAAGAAATTACTTTATTGGCTGATACTG